CCGACCCACTGAAGTCTTGTAGCACTCGTAAATAGTTTTTGCCTGCGAGTGAAAAGTAAACACATTTAGTTTGAGTGCAAATCGAGTTTGAATTTGCTTAAAGGTGCACTGCGCCAGAGCCCCGGATGTATAGATCCTTGGAGCCCGGATTCCTGCCCGGTTGAGTGGTGCTGTGGAAATGGAGCGAGAGCAGTGCCAGCAGCAACTAACTAGATTTGCCAAATGCATTAAGCGTGAGCGAAAACATGAAAAAATATATTTGACTCAGACCATATGTGCAGAAGGTGTTTTTTTCAAGCAACATGTGAAGAAAAGTGAATGAATATGGTAAAACTCGTACACTAGAAAAATTTAAATGAGAAAGCAATTAAAAATGTGCTCCTGAATTAAAAAAATATTAATAAATATTTATTTGATATAGAGATAATGTATCCAGTTCCGGTATATCTTAATAATTATTTGTATATACAGCTTATTTGCAGAAAACTTTCATACATAAGTTTAAAATCTATTTGGTCATTTATTTATTAAAATTCGTATACTCGTATAGTATTTATGTATACAAAAGCTTCTCTTAATTGCTCTTATTATTACAAGTTTAATATAAATAATTCCTATTCAATTTGACGAGTACTTTTCAGTTTGAATAGTTTACAAAATGGTTTTCCACATCCACCATTTCTCCCTTCACCGCCCGCCACTCTTTTAATGGTATAATGTCAGCTGTCTTCGGTGTACTTTTGCATTTAGTTTCTTTTTTGCTTCATTTCAAAAGCTGAACAATTCAATTAAAGCCAGGAAAAATTATATTTCCACTGCACGCCGCGAGAAGTTTTGTTGAATATTGCCAGTGACAGTCGCAGTTGGCAAACTAAAATAGAACTAATTCCATATGCCTTGTAGCCAATTGCCAAAGAGACAGCGGAGCGGAGGAGACTGGCAAACAGCTGCCCAACTTATGACATGAAAATAATGTGGGCGAAACAATGAATTATGCACTTGGAAATAAGTTTGGAACTCGGCAGCGGCTAAATTGGAGCGCGCGACGATGCGGTGGCCAACAAAACCAGTTGGCAAATCACTCATAAATGGCACAAAACTGGGGCTCTCTGGTCATGGCTGCAACTTGCAACTTGCAACCACGGCCTGCATTACAAACTGCAACTGGGAAACTTTTCAGATGGCTGGAAAATGGTTCGCAGACAGGGGCAACAACAAAATTCGGTGCCATAAAATGTTGCCAAATGCAAAATGCGTGCATGGGGCTCATAATAATTCATAAGCAACATTTTGCGATGGCAGAGGAGCTTTTCCGCTATCCCCTCATCCAGTTCTCCTCCCCGTGAATTTGTGTGTGGCTCGCGTTATGTTGCACAATAAACGCGTTAAGTTGAAAGTAATGCATCAACGTTTTGCGCGCGCCCCAAAAATGCAACCGGAAATAACACTAGCTTACATAAAAAAGTTATTCAAAATATCGGAGTTTCTAAAAATTTTTAAATAAATCAAAAATTGACTGAAACATTTTAGAGCGTAAAAAAAAAAAAAAGAATGTGATAATTTAATTGTAGGATAACAGAGGGCACATTATATAACATTTAATGGCTATGTATCCCGATTGTTTAGGGCTTTATTTCATTATAATCAAATGGCTTAATATATTTGCATAACTTTCTTGAAACAAATAATAAAATTAAAAGCGTTTGGAAAGTATCCTTTTTTTAGTTAACCCTTTAAAAAAGCTAGAGCTTGCCAACTAGTGTAGTGGCAAGAACACCAGCCACACAATGCGGAGTATGTGCCTCCATATGTTGCCATCAGATAGACTGACAAGGATGGAGTGAACATAGGCAACTGGATGAGGGCACCAAAGCTTTTGAAAGATGAAGGAGCAAATGAGGTTGCAACAGCGGACGTGTAAACTGAAGCCAAATGCAGCCAAGGAAAATGAAATGAAGTGCGAAGCAGACAGCGACTTTAAGGAGTTGCCACCGATCTGCGGATTAAGCAGTGAAAGGTGCTTTAGAAATGAGAAAGCCAAGCTTTAGGCGTTTAGATAGCGAGTTCAGAAATATTTAATGCGATTTTAAGTAGGGCAACTGCGAAAATATACGCATTTCAGACCGTGCAGGAAGCTCTCTGAAATTGTGTAAATAAAATGAAATGTGCAATTTTTGCATATTTTTAAAGAAGCTTTAAATTAATCTGACACGTTGTTGATATCTTGCAATTTGGCTTGCAACCAATTAACAACGTTTCCTCAATTAAATTAAAATAATAATTATTTTCTCTGCCTTTTTATTTCAGCAAAGAGTAATATGTAATGGTAAATATATGATTGTTCATGAATTTATTTCATTTTAAATTATTTAATAACAACGTTGTGCATATAGCATTTATGCAGCCGATTCTGTCGATCTGTGCTTGTTTACTTAAACTTAATTGTACTGTATTTTAAAACATAGATCATATTTCTTGCAGGATTTATTAAACCAAGCAGAAATATTTTATGTAAAGCCGTAATTTCTGATCTCGTTTCACCCTTTAAAAACATTTAATAAACGTTTTTGTGCATCCCTTTTAATAAAGTTTTTAAATGAAAGCCAGTTGGAAAATAGCTACATCGTTATAGTATAGTACAGTTTTGTTTGTAAAATCCAATCAATAATAACTTTGGCCGGAGACATGAAAGTAAAATCACAATTAATAAATCCATCATTACGCTACCGCTGGTGCTGCAGTTTCTTTTCCGTTAGTTTCTTTCTTGTTGTTTCTGTTGTTAGTGACACTCAACTCCTGTCGGGGACAGGCAGTGCCACGCCCCCTGCAGTGTTAATAAAATGCGTGAAATTTCCATAGCCAGCTTGGGGGCGTTTATGCATCAGATGTGTTATGAATTTCAATGCAGCGCATGGAAAAAAATATAGACCGAATTCGAACTGAAAAAGTGCACTGCAAAAAAAAAAGGGGGAGTAAGTGAGTGGGGCTTACTGGCATTGAGTGCGTTTTTGCGAGGAAAGAAAGTCCTTTTCTCCTTTATTTCGGGAAGCGTGTAAAGTTCTTGACGCTGTCGCTGACATTTCACATTACATAAGCGTATTTATGCAAATGCGCTGCGAGTCCTGCTTTCTACGTGTTTGAGTCCTGCTGCTCCTGCCATTCCGCCTGTCCACCTACCCGTTGTATCTCTTTCTTTCGCTGAGCTTCGGGTTGAGTTGGTTTTTTGTCGATGCGCCATATTTGCATGCATTTTAAATGACTCGGATATCAATTTTGACATATCACTTGACAGCTTAAAAAGGTTTATGTATTTATACAAACGAACACGCCAAACCGACAGGCCTCTCCCACTCGCTCTCGCACAATGAGTGTAGGGTTCTTTTTCATAATAAAAGAGGCGGATTTTAAATTTATTGCTTCATTAAAGCTTAATGCCCAACGGCATGAGTTTGCGTTTCACTTTATTCATGTATCAGGTGAAATATTCAGGATATGGCTCTCACTTTTTTCTGTTCTTGTTTTTCGTTACTTCCTATTTTGTTTAACAATTTTGTGGGTCTGTATTTTTATGCGGCTTTAAAATATTTGAAAGTCATCCAGCATTAGTCCCCATACGCTAAATTCAATGGCGATATTTGTATAAGCCGGTGCTAAATGAATCCATTTGTAATTTAAATGTTTTGTTGCCAGCCGAACATTGAATAAAATGCCCCAGCAAATGTGCATGTAAAACGCATGTTAGGTATTCATGTCATTGAACATGTAAACAATATTAGCAAGAAAAATTAAAAAACCAACCTGTATTGGTGGATTTCTATTAAATAAATAATTTCTTTAAAAATCAATTTTAAACTGGTCTGACTGTTAAGGTAGGCCGTTGAGAGCTGGGGGCAAAGTTAATGATAAAGCTAGACTAAAGGAGAGGGTGGTGCGGTCAATCCATTAGTTTGGCCCACAAACTCAAGTCGAAAAGTCAGGATAAATAATTAAATTTGCTGCGTAAATAAAACTTGGAGAGGCCGCCAAAATGGCCGAGTACGAACCAGAAGCTGAAAGAACCACTTGAGCAGCTTGTCTACAATGTCAAAGGCAGGCCCTTGGCTTCTCTTTCCCAACTTTCTCCACTCTTTCCACACTTTGGCCCCTTCTGTCAGCTACTCCGATTGTGGAGCTGCTTTCATTTGGCATTCAGTGAAATTGCTTTTATTAGCGTATAAATCAACAGTGCAAAAATCGTAGCATACTTCCCAGCAGTCCGGCGTTTAAATTAAATTTATGCGCCATTTCGACTTGTTTACAAGTTGTTTGGCCCGAAGACGAAAGCCAAAGACAAAACGGGCTAGAAAATGGGCGAAGAGGCAATCGTTGTGTGGCGGCGATTCACACTTGAAAAGTGCATGAAAGGCCGAGCTTAACGACTGCTCGAAGGAGTGAGGTCCTCGATACTCGCACCATTGCCCATTATTATGCCCTGAACATAATAATAAAACTATAAATTAAATTAACTCATAAAAATTCCGTGTGCATAAAAAGGCAAAGACCCACCACCGCCGACCGTCCGGAGCCCGAATAATAACTTTGTTTTTGTTGCAGCCCGCCAAGAAAGCAAAGTGGGTGGCCATCTATCTATCTGTCTATCCGGGGCGATGTCAGTCTCAGGCTGCTGCGTTGTCCAAAAACTGCCCGCCAGAGACCGTTCACCACTCCGTTCATATCCCCAGACCTTCCACTCCTTCCCTCTTCAAGGACTGAGAGAAAATATGTCTAAAATAGCTCACAATCACAAAAGAAATTTTTGAATTTGTTCAGTTATAAAACACTACACATATTTTTGCAAGTTCAAATAGTTTTTATATTAGTGTAATAATTTAAAATTAAAACTATAAAAAATAATATTTCTTTGGCTTAATCATGTATATAAATATTACATGTTTATCTTTGCTGCTTAAAAAATATAATCCGAGCTCGCCAACTATAAATAAATAAATATAGAAATGTAATACGTATATTAAATATAAAGAATTTATTTTTGAGATTTAGAAAAATTTTAAGTTCATTTTTAGAAAATTGTAAAATGGAAATATTTAGATCAGAGTTTTTAAGTCTGGGCTAAGCATTACCCTTTTTAGAATTTTCTAACATGGGTAATTTCTAAGTCCAGAAAATTATAAAAATAAATTTCAGTGATCCGTCTGACTTTTTCCACTTGCCCATTCTGCACTCGGTTTTGCTCACATTTTATGGGGCATACATATAGGCGCTTTGGCTTGTAAGTAGCATGTAAGTCGGATGATTTAAATTCTTGTGAGCACACCAAAGCGAACGATGCTGCTGCTGCCTCCTCGGTGCGATATATAAAGCGTCAGCGCGCATATTTGATTTGATTTCATTGCCAAAACTGAGACTCGAACTGCCCAGTAGGCCATTCCATTGAAGAGGACGCGACGTGCCTGTAAATATTTATTAATTCTGTGAAACTTTCCATTTGGTTTGGTCTCCCAGCATTCTCTGTGCACGAGTGTCCAACGCGAAGATTCCTCAGTGGCTTTGATTTTTATTGAGCTGAGTTTGAAAATGATTTTGTGGCTGCTGCCCAAGGAAAGATTATTTCAAATTTTCATAATCTAAATTAAGTGGCAAACAAAGAAAATTGATTTGGATTTCATTTATTGCTTTGGCTTGATTTAAATTTGAAAATTGTCTAATTCGATGAGAAATATTTATAGAAATACGATAAGTGGTTATTTCCAGATGATCTAACTTCTTCTTTATGAGATTATAAATTGGTTAATTTAGTAGGCCTCAATAAATTTTGAGCAGTAATTTTTGAACGAAATTCAGCAAAGCTAATGCCATAGAAATAAGCTTATAATAATCTGTTAGGTTTGAAATTTGTCCAATTAAATGTGTAATTTTTATGGACTCGTTCAGAAACTAATTATGCAAATGTCCATATTATAATTCATAATTTAATCCACACAAAATAGAAACCACTTCATAATTACTTCCATGTCTTGAAAATCATTATATGACTTACCCTGTCACTTAGTTACTACTTTAAGCTTCTGAACCCTTTTCTTGGGCTTTTTTTTTGCTAATCGGTAAAAGAGATTTTCGATAATTAAGTACATGATGCGATTTTTTAAATGAAGCAGTATTAATTCCTTTTGTCGTTGCTTGAAGATGTTCCTGCACTTTTTAATGCGCTTTTTCATCTGAATTACTGGCAGATGTTTCTTTGGCTTTCCGGTGCTGACAAAGCCGATTTCCCGCCACGGATCGTTCATCATTTCATTTTATTATCTAATAAGCTTACAACTACAATTTTGTAACAATGCCAAACAAAATGAAATATTGATTGCTAAATCAAAGCCGAATTTAATAAACTTTAGCAATCGGGCCAAACAAAGCGCCGTCGTCCAACGACGACAACAATGAATGCATTCTGCTGCGGAGCAAGAGGCTGTGATGATGACGTTTAAAGCAATTACTAGCGAAACCAAGCCAAAGTCCACGCCCACTGACGCCTGCTGAACAACAATGTGCATACAAATGCAAATTGCGCTCTGGCATACGTTGCGTATACGTAACGCCAAATGCCAGCGGCAAGTGCGGCAACAACAATGCATTTTCGCATTGCGTGAACAAAATAGTTTTGTGTTGCGGTTGTTTTTAGTGGCTCCACGGGCGCCATCGTAGTTCTCTGTGGGCGTTTAAGGGCGAATGGGAGTGGCAAGCGTTGGACAAGGACTACATCTACAACAAGTGCAATGGCAATTACTGGGCGTGTAGTAGCAGCAGTCGGAAGGCAGGACCTCCAGCCAAGCGAGGGGGAACTTCTAGAGTTGCAATTTCCAGTTTCTTTTCGCGGGCTTAACAAATGCATAACCAACTAAGAACAAGCAGGCAACGTGGTAACTGGCGGTAACTGCGAGCTCAGAAATTCCCTAACTCAGTGGCTTCTGATTTAAATGCATACAAACTTGAGAAAGACTCGTGTTTTAGTCTTTTTTCTATGAGTTCTCTGTATTCTGTATTAAAATTTCGTTATTTTGGTAATTACTTTAATTATAATTTCTCCTTTTTTTAATATATGTACAATGATCTCGTTTATTAGAATTGCTTAACATATGGGAATTCAGTTCTGTCTCTCTATATAAAAATTACCATTTTTTCTTTTTAAAAATATTTAGATTTTTGAAAGTTAATAATGTTTTTATATATATTACTTAATTCTGTTTTAATATGTATCAATGTTTATATTTATAATATATATTTTAGACTTTTTTAGATGTCCTTTTAATGCTTTTAAAACGTTTTCAATAGCTAAGCGAACCCATAATTCTAGCATCAATACCCTACCCTAAGCTAACCCTGCGGCATTGTTGAGTTTTGTTTGGTTGATTGCTGGCTGCTCGGATGGTGGGTTGAATTGTATACAGAGTGCATAGCTGTTTCGCGTGCTGAGCATTTAGTGACACATTTTAGTGGTTGCCGCGAGCAAATTGCAGGTGCAATCGAAAGATGTTGTCGCCAGGCCAACGGATCACGCATAAATGCCGAGTGCCCCAGAGCCAAATCTTAACCACTACCCACTCAAAGTCTTATTCTCACACCCATCAAATCATGGCAAGGCAAACCAAAATTGACTTGAACAAAATGAAAAAAGATATGAGCACTGATAGAAACATGGTTATCTTAAGGAATTTATTCTATCATTTTTAGAGGAAACATCTTTGAATTGCAAAGTCAGTAAATAATGAATAACATTTTTTTCAAAATCTATTTCTTTCCTAATAAGACAAAGATCGAATTGTAATTTAATAGATACTAGAATTATTGGAATTACTAGTGATTTTTTACCATGAGCATAAAACAGTAACAATAAATCCCACAAGACATTGTAAAAATAAACAATGGTGGAATATTTTGCAAAAAAAACCTATGTCATTAAATTTATTTTTGTATAGAGATATCGAGTTTTCCCCCAGTGAACTTTTTCGGGCCCATTCCTCCCCTCGGTCGTGTATAAATAAAGCTCCCAATATAATAGAAAAAGACTTGGGTGAGCATAACAGAAGGGCGAGGGTTGACGGGGTCAAGTTCGGAATCCATTTGTGTGCATTTCAGTTTCGGTTTAAATCAAGAGCGGGACACAGCTCCGGACAATCATTCAGGCTGACAGGATGTGCGCTTCACTGCGCTGATTGTGAGTCGAAAAAGGCTAACGAAATGCGAATGCCCATGCACAGAAGCTAATATATTGTGCTGTGTTTGGGCATCTTAAAGCTGCTCTCAGGCCAACGCCACTCGGTGGCACTTTGCTAATTGAATTTATGCCGACGCCACTTGACAACTTCCTGCAACAAGCGGCAGGACCCGTGCCCGCTCCTTCGTCTGGCAACAGTTGGCAACGTGTTAATTCAACAAAAATTACAGTTGCAAGGCAGCCAGGCATCCTCCTTTTTTTTATCCTTCATCTTGCCTTTTTGCTCATTAAGCATATGGCAACAAGGTGTAAATATGTTTGCCAGTGCTCCGTCAGGCAGTAATACTTTTTTCCCAGTTCCCAGCACAAAAAGCACAGCCAAGCGAGCAGACATTTGCGCCACCCACTCCCTTTCGTTTTTAGACCAGCGACAAGCCTTTCTGCGTGTCCTTGTAGTCGGCTGTCGTCTAGGCTGCTTGCCATGACAATTTAAATGCCTGTTGTCTGCGCACATCCTGTGCAAAAAAGGGGTGAGCTGGCTGAAGAGGGAGGCGTGCGAAAGTAATAGCCGCTTCTAGCTGCGGTTCCTTTAGAATCATTTTCCATCTTCTCAAGGGTAGCAAAATGGATATGTTGGACCACACAAATGTTCGAAAAAGATAATATCTTTATCTTATAAAAAGTTTACTAAGTAGCAGAAAAATATTTGATTTTAATACATGTGTAAAGAGTTAAATAAATTTATTCTTAAAATGTTTTTCACTTTTTATTTTTTCTTAAATACTTATGTTTGACTGAAACTATTTAAACAGTTTTTAGTTTGTACTTTATAATGAGGCCAAAGTCGATTTTACTAGATAATAAGATAGCCAACTCTTCTTCATAAGTTTTAGGCTTTACGATCATTGCTTATTGATATTTGCTTTATGTTTTCGTTTTGAGAAAAAATCTAGATCAGACAATAGTATCCCGTTGTTATAGCACATTGTAAACCAGTTGATCATCAATATAATAACACTTTCAAATTTGTTGTTTCAGAATTACATTTTCCCACTTTATTGCCTAAGGTTAATGAGTCATCACTTAGTCGAGTCCTTTATTCCACTTGTAATTGTTAATAAACAAGTTTTTTTTATGTTGTATTTACACTTTAATGAATTGCATGTAATTTCAAATGTATGAGTTGTTGTTGTCGCGGCTTCGCGGTCCTTGTTGCGGGTTTTCCTCCTGAATTTATTGGGAAGTAGAATAGGTCGAGTAGTAGAACAAAAGTAAAAGCAGCGAAGGGAACAATGCCATTGTGGTAGATATTTAAAAAAGAGGGAAACGAAATGACAACGTCAATGTAAGGAAGAAAGTTTTAAAAAACCATTAAATATTATCAGGGTCTTTAAAAAGGTATTAAAAAGATGAGCGCGAAGGCTGTCATAATTTCATGTGGTTTAACTGAACAAATAAGGAGCCTTCTTCTCGTGAACTTAATCTTTTCTAATTCTATTGCTGAAGAACTTTATTTATATGTGTCTCAATAAAATGTAACCATTAATACCAGCTTGAACAATAAGCTTTCCCTTAATTTTTATTTATGTACACATTTTAAACGCAATGAATTTTGTTTTCTCCACATTGTAATATTTATTTATTCACTTTAAACATCAGATAAGATCGTCATGGAAGCCGGGAAAAATAATTTAAGGGTGGCACTAACACCCACTCTTCGCAATTGGGTCTGCTCCATTTCGGGCAACCAATTTTGTCATATCTTTTGCATGAAATGTAAGCCACTAATTAAAACTAAGTGGTGGGGGCGGGACATCGTCGAAAATATCGCGCCCAAGCCGTAACCTCTATTAACCCGAGCGACGCCCAATTACACTTTCGGCTACAGTTTTCTTCTTTTTTTTACGCCTTCCCATCGTTGAAAGTGTGCGAAGAAAAGTGGGCGGAGGCGCGGGAAATGGCGCTGACTACCCTCCAAAAATTTTTGACATTTTGACAGGGCTACAAGTTTACAAGCACCGCAGGCTACAAGAGGCAACATCATCAGCAACAACAGTAACAGCAATGGCAGCACATGGGAACGCATTACGCATACGCCGTGTGGCCGGGGTAAAACCAGAGGTGTGAGTGTGTGCGAGACCCAATCCTAATTTGTTATGTAACTGTGTGTGCGGGCGTTTGGGTTAGATAGAAAACCGTATAAGTGATGTTATAACGTGCGGAGTTTTCAGCGCTTCGAGCATTTTGACCTGGCTCATTATGCTTCTTGCGGCATTGAAGATTTTTGGGGTGGGATTCTAGTTGAAGGGCATATAAGAAAGGCATATAAGAAAGTAATCGGAGTAGTGCCTGTTTACATTATCCTGCTTGTTCTGCTCAATCACTTCACCCTTGCAGAGAGTTTTATTGCAGATCTACAATAATAAAACAAGAGAGAACGCTATAGTCGGGTGCCCCGACTATCAGATACCCGTTACTCAGGTAAAGGGAGTGCGAGGGAGATGGAGATAGAAACTTTGATCACGCATAACTTTTTAACGAATGGTCCGATTTGAAAAATTTCTTCTACATTTCGATAGCTATTGATAGACACAATAAAACTGCATTTTTACTTTTCCGAAATATTTAAATTTTTAAAATCGTATATAAGCGATTGTGGGCGTTAAAGGGGCGTGGCACCATTTTGAAACAAACTTGCGCTGCGTAGGAACTTCTAAAATCTACATGCAAAATGCCAATCTTCTAGCTTTTATAGTTTCCGAGATCTCAGCGTTCATACGGACAGACAGACAGACGGACAGACAGACGGACAGACGGACAGACGGACAGACGGACATGGCTATATCGACTCGGCTAGTGACCCTGATCAAGAATATATATACTTTATAGGGTCGGAAACGCTTCCTTCTATCTGTTACATACTTTTGCACGAATACAATATACCCTTTTACTCTACGAGTAACGGGTATAAAAAGGAAATGATTTAAATTATTTACTTTGGCTTTCATTTTTAAAGTTTTACTAAGTACGTCATCTGTCAGGTTAATTTTGTATTTATAATATAATTCAAGAGGTAAACCAACTGCTTTTAATAATATAATTAGCATAAACACATTTTAGTTATCAGCAAGT